TACAAACAACATAAATACATAAGAAACATACGTGCATTAATAAATGTGTTACTCGAATCTGGTACAACGCAGTTTCACGTGTCGAACGTGCGACCATTGGTTGCCCTGGTTGAATTGACATTAGAGAAAGGATAAATAGAAGGGACGGTGACCTAAAGGAAGCATCATTTTATCACACAAGAATGACACATGTACGTATACAAGATTTTTTGAACAGACCGATGTGAAAGAAAACCTCGAAAAAATCGAGAGTGAGGGAAATGCTCGTCAATTAGGAACCTGCGGCTGCAAACGCGGCTACCACCCTTCGTAATCAACTCGAGCTTGCGGCTGGTAAAGTTCTTTCTTTCATCCACAACTAAAAATCCTTTCGATTTCTTTTCATAGAAACATTTATAGTTGCCTAGTATAGTAGTTGAATGAGTCCATGTTATAACATCGCTGCAAAATTATTGCTTCTTTCCGGTTACGATCAAAAGATGACTATATAGTAAGAAGGCTACCGAAACCGTATTCTACTTTTGGTTCTTCACAGATGATGTCGCAGGTGGATAAGCCACTACGTCTTACAAACTAATATATTATTGGGAGCAGAATGTGCAGTGGTGTGACCTCGCTTAACACGCCGATGGTGCATCCTACGCCGTCTTCCTTCGACGCTGACCAGGCCCACCACGCCTCTCATCCTCCGAAGCCGCCAAATTGGCTCTGAACTTGTCTAAGAAAATTTCGATCTCTTTAATCCACGTAGACACGCCTTATCACGACACTCTTATGATTTCGAGGGAAGTCGACTCGAGCAGCACTGAACGACATTCGTTAACAAAACAAAAACTCCTCATGGAGCAGTCGAAGCNTCTTCACAGATGATGTCGCAGGTGGATAAGCCACTACGTCTTACAAACTAATATATTATTGGGAGCAGAATGTGCAGTGGCGTGACCTCGCTTAACACGCCGATGGTGCAACCTACGCCGTCTTCCTTCGACGCTGACCAGGCCCACCACGCCTCTCATCCTCCGAAGTCGCCAAATTGGCTCTGAACTTGTCTAGGAAAATTTCGATCTCTTTAATCCACGTAGACACGCCTTATCACGACACTCTTATGATTTCGGGGGAAGTCGACTCGAGCAGCACTGAACGACATTCGTTAACAAAACAAAAACTCCTCATGGAGCAGTCGAAGCCGCATCCAGAATGAAAAGCCGGCAGACCTTATTGTAGGGTGGATACGAGGAAACGAATGAAATGAAGAATTCCTGGTTCCACAGAGCATGGCGCATGTGATGTCGGGTCATGTAACAAATAGTGAAGTGTTATATGTATATGTATATATATATAAATATATATATATATATATATACAGATAGGAGGCAGTTAGCACAATAGCAGTGGCGCCGATCATCACGGACACGCTTCTAGATCGATCCAGTCCCATGATTACCCAGTCTCTCACCCCTCGCAGTCGGGAAATTCACACCGGACTTGTCCGGTAACAAATCACTCTTTGCAATCCAAGTAAGAACGATCTAACTTCGCTATCTGAGGACTCCAGTGAGAATCGACTCGACAAGCATACAACGACATTCAAGGTGAAGTGAAAATCCGCAAGCAGTAACCGAAACCACACGTAAGAAGTTGGAAGACTTTCGAGGACGATCGATGCGATGAAACGAATTGGATGCGAGAAGTACTGAAATCCGCAAGTGGGCGTGAAGACGGATCGAACAAAGAAAAATGAAAGCATAGAGGATATAGCTTTCNTCCGGTAACAAATCACTCTTTGCAATCCAAGTAAGAACGATCTAACTTCGCTATCTGAGGACTCCAGTGAGAATCGACTCGACAAGCATACAGCGTCATTCAAGGTGAAGTGAAAATCCGCAAGCAGTAACCGAAACCACACGTAAGAAGTTGGAAGACTTTTGAGGACGATCGATGCGATGAAACGAATTGGATGCGAGAAGTACTGAAATCCGCAAGTGGGCGTGAAGACGGATCGAACAAAGAAAAATGAAAGCATAGAGGATATAGCTTTCGGCGTTGATCAATCGCTGAGGGATACACCGTGCGTTGGATCTCAATAAGTATCGTTATAGGTGACTGAATGTATGTTTGGCCTTTAAAACGACTCGCAACGGCCTAGCGATGTATCAAGACAGTGCCACTATCTTCGTAGACAAGTCTTGCACCAATTTGTCGATTCCGAAGGGATGGAAGGCTTGAAGAGCCTACGGCGCGAGGATCGTTCCGGTGTGCACCGAAAGACGCCTCCGGCCACTGCGCCACACGTGCCCTAAGATAGAATAAACAATAAAAATATATATGCATACATCCTGGAGACGGTGCGGCAGTCCTGTCTTTGAATTTGCCAGTTCCAAGGCATTCGAGAACTTTTCCGGAAATTATAAAATGTCGAAGTTATAAAAGTAGCAATTTATTGAAAATCGGCACACTGTCGCGAATATGTCGAGTTTTTTCAAGAAGTTAACAAATTCAATGCATTTCTATGATAGTCTCTGAGACAGAGGTGCAGGACAATTATATGGAAATATTGAACATTGTAAGTGAATGGGATGCGAAAAGCATTTGTTGCAGCGGAACATGCTTTTACACGGTAGTTGGCCGTTTGCAGGTTCAACCATGTCTTATCCTGTCAGAAATACACGTTGCATATTTCGTGGCAACTTCGACAGGTGGGAAATGAGCACAGATTAGGAGACGAAATATCCTACTTTGTTCCCAAAACCTTGCTATGATTAGCTTTGTTTTTGTTCGAATCAAATTTTCCACAGGTAATAATCACATCTCAGAATTCGGCATCTCAGAATTGTTCATCGTTCACAGAATCCTTTTCTCCTTGTATCAAGGCGGAGTATGTTCGCATGAGTGTGCAAAGTTTGAGCTTGAAGCAGTATTTATATTGTTTGAAGTGAGTTCCATAGTTTAAACCGTTGGAGATTCTTTTGAAGTTGTTAATCTCACGCCAGCTGCTCTCTAATGTCTTGCAGCTGAGGTATTTCTAACCTGCTTCCGTTTTTCTAGCCAGCGTTTTCGTTTCTTTTGTCCCGAATGTTCTTTATCACTAACGTTGCCTTGCGTAGGCTCGGAATCTGCTACTATACTTACTGTTTAGAAGTTTTGTACACGTTTGTGCATCTCTAGTTATTTGTGTTTTAAAGTTGACGGAACTTTTAACTGGCTGCTCGAAGGAAGCGCGTAAATTAGCCATTCATAGTCGACGAAGAACAGTAGTGGTTGGTGCTGTACAGAACGCTCTGCGTATGATACGCATTGCGGTGATTCCGTCTGTTTGTTTACATGGGTAAATGTCATTTGCTTGTTCTTATTTTTAGGTTCCTATAGCATTTATGGCCCTACCAGAGCCTTCCGTGCCACAATCGCGTATGCCAGCTGGAGATCAACTATATATCGGGGATAATGTGGATCTCAATGTGCCGTTACATGCACCACCTTCCCAAACCAGAACTCCCAGCGAGCGTCGTATTGGTGGTACGAGTGTTTTTACGTTTTCTTTTGTTATGCATCTCATTTCTCATTATCAGAGCTTTCCTTTTTCTTGGAAGTGTGACTAAATACTCTGAATTGCCTCTTTGAGGTTAGATTAAAGTTTCACTGCTTTTACGGTTTTAGTCACCCTACTTGCATTCCGGACTATGTTATCAGTTCATTGTGCATTCCTACGCACTCTTTTTAGTTCAATGGCCAAGGGTGGAAAACGATGGATTCCCACAACCACAGAAGAAGATGAGGATGGCGTTGCCAGAAAACGAAGTCACCTCTTCTCTTCTTCCGGCTGCACTGAGAAAATGGTCATAAAGTCACATTTTGTTATTTACTCCTACTTTTCCACTACGACGAAATGAGAGAGAAATGTCTAGTAGTGCAGTGAGCCGTTGTTGTGAAAGTAAGGTGAAAATGTAAAAAAGCGAAAAGTAAATTGCGCGATCTGCAAGATGGAAGACGATTTTGATCACGCATGTTTATATGTGTTAAATTTTGTTTGATAAGGACCTCTCCATCTCCTGAACTCGTTTCACCATCGCTTTCATATCGTTTGGCCGCACAGGGTTTGCCAAGAAAGGAACGCATTTTGGTTAATCCATTGCTTCCGGATTTGTCAGTGGTGAGTTTCACTAAAAAATTGGCTTGTTATTTCAATGTGGTCACTTTATTCTCAAGTATCCAAAATTTACGTAATTTGTTTTCACAGTGCACTTCTAATTTAGGAGGAACAGAGATACCTTAAGGAAGTTGTTGAAGCTTGTGTTGGTGTGGATCGTGAAAAGCGTCAAAGAGCTCTTCACTCTCTGGAGCGAAATGCAACGCTTCAAGTGTTTCTACCACGACTGTCGCGCTTGTTTCATACAGCTGTACGTTGTTACTGGGCGGAAACTAAGATGCTAACCTCTGAATCAGTTCCATTTTCATATCGATTACAGCGCGTGTCAATTTTCATTCAGAGATTTTGGATAGAAGATGTGTTTGACAACCGTTTTTATGTGAACGTATTCAGTTTCAGGTTCGTTGGAATATCGTCCTTCGTTCTCTCTCCATGTTGATTTACATTGTGCGAATGATGAGAGCGGTTGCCTTTAATACATCAGTGAAGTTAGGTGGAGTGGTAAGTGACACTCCGCTCATTCCTATTTGTTACTTCGTCCTTCAACGCCTTTCCGATCAACAGTTATATGCTTTAGTTTTTTCCCACGTATACACCTAGTTTTATAGCTTCATGAATTTTTGCCGTCGCTGATCAGTTGCATGGTATGCAGAATTTTATGCGATCGACCAGAATTGGAGGATCACTGGGTACTACGTGATGTTGCTGGCAGCACTCTGATCAAGATCTTAAAGTATGTGACACCACAGCTCAGATTTTTTTTTAATACTAGGAGTGTTGTATTACGGAAGGAGTTTTCGCTGGTTAAATGTCATTTCAAGCAGACAAATGGCATCTTTATCTAAATTTCAACCTTCTAATACTTTAGAGATCACGGCACAGAAAATCTTCGATGTCGTTCGTTTTGCTTCGTCAAGAAGATCTTTTACGATTCATCTTCAAGTTATCCTATGATCTATGGAACAATTCCAACTCTACTAGAGTTTGCTACACCGGACGAAGTAAGCTGAACATTTCTCTTCATTGCATTTCATAATCGCAATGCGAAATTGAGTTCGTAAACCTAAATGATGGAGTCACACTTAATCTCTTTGTGTAAGTCACTGTTTTCGTGCTGGGCAGATATGAAGTTGTTATTACAACACTTATTTCACAGTAGCTAACGCTTCTGCAGATTCCTCGTTCTTTAGAGGTTGAAGCGGTAAATTGATGCACAATCTACTCACTGAAATACTATCATAACAGCATGAGCAATTCGTGGCGTAAATTTCTTCGCCTAGGAAACAGCTTCTTTTGAGTAACTTTTTGTGTTTTCCATCTATTGATGGATGCCAACTGCATACAGTTTACATGGGTGAGAAATGTACCCTCACAGGTCGAGGAATTAGCCTGACGTATGTATAGGGAGTGACCGAGCGTAATAACAAGGCACTCTTCTCAACGCTCCATATTTCGATCCTTGAAATTTATTCGGAATACCTGAAGAGTTTTGCACGCTGGCTCTTTATATTCCTCTAAAGGATGGTGACATTTATTTGAAGACCTTCTCCGTTTTGCCTTTGTCTCCTGTGCTCCACAAGTGGTGCGTTTTGCTGTTCTTGAAATTCCTCGCCTAGATGCACTTCTATACCGCCAAAGATTGATCTGTCCGTTTCCTCAGTGTATTCGTCCCTATTCCCTGCAAGAGATCAGCTATCCTATACCGAATCTCGTGTGAAAACCGTCTCTAGCGTTAAAGCGATTAATGCAATTTGGCGTTGTGCACAGACGGTTGTGCAAGCGGTTGTGATCCTAACTGATGACATAAATTTCTCGGTTATTTCATCTGCAAATGTTATTTAACATGCTCATGTGTATTGACGTTAATGTATGCCATTGAGAATGTATCAGTATTTCAATATTTTTTTCAAACATGAGTACATACATAAATTTATACAATGGTTGCTCTATGGCTTATGGTTCAAATGACCGACTTTCCACCAAGCTCTGGATTTGTAACCAACTTTATTTTCTAACGAACTCTCCTTAATGAGCCTAAATGTAGCAATAGCCTGTTGATAGTACTCTTCTAAGCATGCACAAGACTCGATAACAATGGTCATAGTTTTGTTGTGGCAGTTTCACCTATGAGTCAACAACATCGAATCTTTTGAATGATTTTCGACGATTTTTCAAAAGCTAAAAGTGGGTCAATGGTACCAAATCCTCATCAACACACTTTAATTTGCTGCCTCGTTTCGGAATAATTCTCTGTTAAGAGCGAGTTTCATTCATTATCATTTACGAGCTACACAGGATTAGTCTCACTATTTGGAAAGTGGAAACAAAGAAAGCGTTGAAGTGGAACAGGACTTGGTTTCTACAATAGACTTTCACTAAGTCAGTCGAGTGTTTGCCGAATACTACGTATGGAGCTGTGTGACAATACCTCTAGGTTCTCAAGAAGGCCAATTATCGAGATGATACCTGTTAAAAACATCTTGTCTGATTGTTAACGAAAATTTCTAAGATAAAATGTTGTGTGTTTGATGAAGAAACGATTGATTTTCTATTTTAGTTAGTTCGTTTGCGTCCGCGCTTCATGATTTTACTGGAGAATACTTCTTCCGCTATTATAACAAGTGCCAACCGACAGGAGCGAATCGAGGCTCGTAAGCTGTACAGGGCTCTATCAGTAAGGTTTTCTTCTATTTATTTTCTATTCTTGGGAGTCATTGTTAACGTGATATGGTGATCTCTCTTGCTAAATTTTGTTTGCCTTTCTAAGGTTTTAGTAGTTTTACTGCGTTTGGTAGGATTAATGCGTTGATGATCATGTGCATGTATTTCAGTGCATTTTCTCCTTGTTTCTTTCCTTCTCTATGCAAGTTTTTTCCGCATCTTCTTTCCTTTTCTGACATTTTTAAATCCATTGGTTTTCCTACATGGATAATACATCTGGGGAGACTTCGGAAGTTTTCTTCCCCACTTTGCAAATGTAATATTGTACAAGGTTACTACTTATGAAGAGTGTTCTAAGAGACCTCCGTTCTAAAGGAAATTTTGTTGTTGTAGAACGAAGAGGAACGCGTTGAAGAGCCAAAGTAGAAATGATTTAGCGATATGATATAGCGTTATGCAGTTTTTTCTTATCCATGAGGCGTTAGGAATTTGTTTTTCCTAGCTTACCAAGTGCAGTCTTAAGCGCACGGAGGATTTAATTCGAAGGATGTTTTTGAGTTTGTTTAAGAATCACGAACCATCATTGCGACGTCTTATCGAAGAGTCAACACATGCGTCGAGAAGAGGTCATACAAGAGCACATCCATGAGATGCTATATTTGTGTAGCCCTTCTTTGAATATATATGCGGTAATCTCTTTGACCAGTTGGTTATGTATTCGTGTAGACATCTCTTTTTCTTCATCGTATTTAGGTAATGGTGGCAATGTTATTAGATAGTTACAGGATAGATCTTATTGCTCTACTTGTGCTGTAATGTTGAAAGAAGTTGTGAAGCTGTTATCACTTTTTTATGGAATGGATCAAAATTAATAACCTGGTTCCGTCTCGTTGTGAGCAAATTAACGTTGATGAAGAATTTTAGAAATTTCAGAAGGAAAGAAAGTTAGAGGCTTCATTATAAAGCTGAGTTGAATAAGTACTAGGCGATAGGTTTGGACTATTGGGAATACATTAGTCAATAAATGTTGAAGTAGACGTAGTTATCATAAATGGTAAGGTAGAATACTTGCTGAAAGGACAAACGAAGAAGTTTCGTCGTGGGGTTCAAGTTGATCTAGCAAAAACCGATCATCACTCAAAAACTGTAGTACTTCCTGTGCAGGTTTTTCAATGAAGATTCTAGAATGGCTTATTTTCCATATATCCTCAGGTATAATTGTCCTATGCCCTATGCCCTGCTATCTAGAACCTGGATGATTAAAAAAACGATGTGAAGACGCGCAGAATGGTAATACAAGGTCCAAGATGAAGATTGAAACTGTAGGAGCACTACTTGACCGAAGCAACTGAGATGATTAATGGTGCTTCTTACGGTCTTCCTGTAATGGGTAGAGTGTCGACAGGAGACGCTAGTGATATGGCTCAGAGGGAAATTCTAAAGGTTTCTCATTTAGTAGAATCTGATTGCGTTGCTTGCATAGAAAGTTCGTGAGGGCTATACATTAGATCTTACACTACGATCATATGAAAGCAAAGCAGAAACTCGTAGGAAAGGTTCAATGAGGGCGATAGAATAGCTTATGCAGAAAGTAGATCTAATCGTAGAAAAAGCAGATGCGGTAAAGTACATGCAACTGACTGTGGTTCATTCAGTGCCCGAACTGTCGGACAAAGAAGAACAGGGGATAAGTGTGGAAGAAAACTCGAGCTCCATCCTTCCCTCTCCAAGCGGTAATTTGGACGATAGTACGGCCACGTTTATCCTGCCCTTCGATCGCAGAGTAAATGCAACTGCAAAACGTTGCTTAAAAATGAGTGGTCTAGAGAGTTCGGTAACAGTGAATGAAATACCAAATTTTTAATGGCAGGGTATATTGCGAAATATAACTTCAATGATGCTGTGATATTTCCAAAACTCCGGACCGCATGGGTATGCGGTGGGGAACGAACGCACTATTCCGAGGAGTAACGCGTTCACCACCACACCATGCATGTCCTTTGTTTCGCTTGTCTCTCAGCTAGGACCCCACCGCATACACCTGCGGTGCGGAGTTTTGCAAATATCTCAGCATCATTGAAGTAAATAATAAGTTAAAATTGTGACTACCTATTCACTTTATTTCGTGGTGGGGATGGTGTCTCAAAAGAAAAAACAAGACAAAACAAGATCCAGAACTGCCCATGCTCATCTGATAAAGCAATGCAAAACAAAATTCGGAAGAAATGTCTACTCAGTTTAGAGCCACTATTAGAAAAAAACAAACAAGGCGTAAACTCCAAGTATTTATTTAAAAAGAAGTGACATCAATGACGACACATGCAAAAAGCGCAAAAATCTTATAACAACACGCTTCCAGTAAATTCTTGGTGACATAGTTCTGTTCCTCCTAAGTTTAGAAGGCCCGTTTCCGTTTTAACGTTCGACATGCTTCGATAACTCGCTGACGTTTTGCGGCAAAGGCGAGTGGAGAAGCAGATCCTTGGCTCCAGCCTGGAAGTAACGGCAGATAAATGTTGTGACTTTTAAGTATGACTTTTTCTTTAAGGGCACAAAGTACGTCATCATTGCTAGAAGGAACATTGACGTTACATCATATTTTACAAATGATAAATATAAAGTAAGATAAAAAATGATCGGTCAGCACTCTGAATTGCCCCAATTCCCAAAATACCAGACGAGTCACTTGTTACTTTGTTTTGAGGATTTCGGCAACATAACGTCGCTACTACACTCTCAATATACCTTCTCACCGTAAGTTAGCACTATGGTGGTAGCATCTGATAAACTGAATATGCTTGGCTTCCCAAGTTGGAATGCTTTGTTAGGGTCTTGTTATAAAATGGTAGATGCTCCGATGCATAATAATGAAGCATGGTCCATATACTATTCGAGGATATCTAGTTCATTATTAACACATAACGGACGACTTGGACGTCTAGGCCATAACATGGTCCCATAAATGAACGATTTGAACGTACAATGCCCACTCACAGTTAAATAGGCTATAGAATTTTTTCGCGGTACTATATAAACTCATTCTATAACTGATAGGAAGCAGGAAAAAGAGAGCAGAAGGACAGCAGCACTGGCTGGATATACCAGTGGGCCATCGCAATCATTGTACAGGCTAGGTATGCACACAATCACCATTAACGATGCTTAATGAAGGTGAATCCTTGACGCACCCCTCAAGAATTGATCAACGCCGACAGCTTCATTTTTTATTTATCTTTCTGTGTTGCGTAACAGTCATAAACTATCTCCAGTCGTATGATAGCCAGGTTTTTTCCGATTCACGACGGCTGTCGCCGGCTAGTGAGGGTATTTTGGAAAACCGTAATATAGC